AAAAAAAAAAAAAGAAGAAAACGTTACAAAAATTATTGCGATTGAATTATTTACGAGTTCCGTGGCGAATGTTCGTGTTATCGTGGAATAAGCGCAAACCTTGGGTGGAATAGTATTGTTGTTGCATTTTCATATTTCGTTGCTGCTGTTGTTGTTGATGCAGGTTTGGTCTGTGACGGTTGATTTGAACTTGTTGCTGCTGCTGCTGTTGTGATGGCATGCAATTCGGTTGCTGTTGCTGTTGTTGCGAAGGATTGTTCGGATTTGGACCCGGTGTAAATGGAACAACTGGTCTCTGAATAGGCGGTGGATATCTTTGCTGTGACGGTTGAATTCCAGCGCGTGGTGGCATCCCCATACCACGTATATTTTGTTGTAAAATCTATAATGATTTCATCAATGCCAATCTTTTCTTTCTTAAGAAATAATAGTTATCCGCTATTGTCGATTTTATAGAAAAATTAATATTCCTCTCCTTCCGTTATGATGATTTCTTATTATATTTTCTAACTTACAAACTGCTTAATTCAGCAGACTGAAAGATTTAATTATAAATGCAATAACGTAGCAAATGTACTTTATTATCGATGATTTAAGTATGTAACTACTTACCAAAGTTGACTGACTAACACTTTGGTACTGTTGATATTTATGATGTTGTGTCGGACTAGGTTGTGGCTGCTGAGATGAAGATTGCTGTTTACAGTTCCTTGATTTTGGAGATGGTATTTGCGAAGCTGCAAATTTTTCTTGACATTATACATATTTCTAAACACGATGCAATGCGTATATACAACAATGTATGTGTATTTTATAAAATTAATGTTAAAAAATATTTTCTAGACTTAGTTTTTCAACATACTTTTCTACAGAGAACTGCACAATTTAATCAATGGATCAAAAAATACATCGTTTCATTTAAAAAGCTCATCTTCATTTCTTGAACATTGAAAATATAATAAATTAAAGTAAGTTATCACGTTGACCGTAAAAAGCTCTATTAAAACTCTCTCCTTTCTTCACTTTTTCAAAAGCTTTGTGGTTACAAGAAAAACTGGTCAACACAATATCTTATGTTCTATACGAAACTTACTAGAACTAAAAACTGATGCAAGGACATCTTGCTGATTCCCCGATGGACTCTTCAATTGCCTGGGCTGATCTTGCGGTTGATGTTTGCTAAGAAAAGTAGGACCTGCGTTTGCTGGTCCGGGCAGTCCTCCTGTTGGATTGCGAAACTGCTGAGCCGCTGCAGCTGCAGCAATCTGTAATCCCGAACTAGATAAAAAGCCTGAGCTGAAGTTTTGAAGTCCAACAGGAGCAGCACTGCCGGTTGCCAAGCTCTGGCTGTGCTGACCAAATCCCTGAAGTCCGTAATGAGTGCCGGTCTGTTGCGTAGCACCGCCCGGCTGATAGAAACCTGTTTGCGATCCGGGGAATACATCTGAAATGAATGAAAATATCGTAGAATCACAAATGGGGAATGATACTACGGCAGCGATACTTGCATTTTGAAAAAAATGACGTGTATATATATATATGTTTCGTTACTTACCAGCCGAAGTTGCACTATAATAACTATTAGCCGAGGCTTGTACGTTCGGGCCAGGTCTCTGTACCAATTGGGAATTGCCCATGTAACTGCCACTCACGCCGAGTACTTGATTTGGATCATATGGTATGTACGTTAACTAAAAAA